TGCCAATTGACAGTGTACTCCACGTATTCATGGAAGACATCCAACGCTTGTATACTAATCTGAAAATCTACCGAACAGCTCAGAACAGAACAAGCATCATTGGGCTGAAAATGATTCTAGCTAATAATAAACCAATCAGATAGAGTCAATAATCCTGTGCTGCTGGTGTTGCCTAGAGATAAATCTCCCTTGTATGTGGGGTCTTCACAAAGTGTGTAGAAACCCATGTAAGTAGTATAGAATTTTATTAAAATTCAAAAATATTTTTCCCACAAATAGAATTATCATTTAACATTGTTTTTCCACAAGTTCTTTGAAGTACTAATATTTAAATGAATTAAAGCTTGTTTTTATGATTTAAAAAAAAAACTTTCAAGGGCTGGCATTGTAGCATGGGGTAAAGCTACCCCCTGCAACACTGGCATCTCATATGGGTGCTGTTTCATGTCCAAGATGCTGGACTTCCATTTAAGCTTCCTGCTAATGCCCTGCGAAAATCCGAGGAAGATGACCCAAGCATTTGGGCTTGTACCATCCACGTGGGAGACCTGGAAGTAGCTCCTGGCTCCAGCCTACCCCTGCCCTTGCTGATGCAGCCATCTGGGGAGTGAGTTGGTGCATGGATGATCTCTCTCCCTCTGTCCCTGTGGGGAGTATGTGGGGGGGGTGTATACATTTCTCTCTTTCTCTCTCATACCTTTCAAGTAAATAAATAAATCTTTTTAAAAATAGATTTTATTTTATTTTATTTGAAGGAGAACGAGAGAGAGAGAGAGAGAGCACTCTTCCATCCATTGATTCACTTCCCAAGGATCTGCAGGAGCTGAGGCAGGTCTCTGTGTGTGACAGGGACCCAAGTATTTCAATTATTACTTCTCAGGGAGCACAGTAGCAGAAAGCTTAATTGGAAGCAAAGGAGCTGGGAGTTGCACCAGGTACTATGATAGCCTGAACAGTTGCACCAAATGCCTGCCAATGCTTTGTCTTATTTTAAAAGGGATAATGGCCCACTCCCCTTTAAATGATGTAAGAGGTATTTGATGTAAAATGGACACTCTGTAAGAACATGAGTTGGTTCTTGCTGGTCAGATGGGTGTATGCTTTCAGGAGAGTCCTGGCCTTGTACTCAGTCATTCTTATAATCTGCCTGAATCTTTCTTTTCATGTCTATCTTCCTCTCTTTGCTGTCTTCTTTTTTTAAAGATATATTTATTTATTTGAACATTAGAGTTACAGAGAGAGGGTAAGAGAGTGAGATTTGCCATCTTCTGGTTCACTACCCAGATGGCCACAATGGCTAGAGATGAGCTGATCCAAAGCCAGGAACAAGGAGTTTCTTCTGGGTCTCCCAGGTGGGTAGCAGTTGTCCAAGGACTTGGGCTGCCTTCTGCTGCTTTCTCAGGCCATTATCAGGAAGCCAGATTGGAAGTGGAGAAGTTGGGTCTCAAATAGGTGCCCACATTAGTGCCACAGGCAGCAAGTCTACCCACTTTGCCATAATGATGGCCACTGGTTTCTTCTTGAAAAGTAACATAATGCTTTGATACAGTTCTGCTTACTCAAAATTCCAGTTATAGTTCCTGTTAATAACACTTTATACTTTATAAAAATTAAAGGGGATCATGGCATAAAGGTAAGTGTCTTGACACAGCAGAGCCTCAATAAATATGATTCTTTATTAATTGTTCAGGCGGCTAAAACAAAATACCACAAACTGGGTTTGCTTCCACAGAACAGAGTAGCCACCAGGCTTCATGAGGTCCAAGACAATACTTCTCTACTGCAGAAGTGAATTCTGACGGGTTTCTTACAGCGAAGTCTTCAGACAGGCATTGGAAGGAAGCAGATAGTTGTTTCATAATGAGACTGAATGTCACTGGTTAATGTATTACAGTAGTCAATGACAGAATATAATGGTATCTTTTAGGGAGATCAAGAATTTGATCAATATTTCCTTTATTGGATCCAGCCTGAAATGTGCTTTTATAACCAGAGCCTATACCTCTTTTGTTACAAGTAACACTCTAAACCTGGGAGCACTTCACTTTCTTGTCCACCTGGGAAGTCAGAAGACCACTTAATCAAAGACTTATGGGCTCAGGAGATACGAATAGCTCATTTCCCATGCCCTAGAAGATGAGAGTACTGAATCTTCCTTTTTTATGGCTATACTGTTTGGGGAAGGATGGAATGGGAAGAAACCAAGAGAGTCTGAGCAATATCTACAAGCCATGTAGTTAACTTGAAGAAAACTATTAAATAGTGAGAGAAACAGAGACAGGTGTATTATGCAGCAACATGGATATCCCTGCCATTACTCCTGGCTGCTTTTATCACTCATGTTCTAACTGATAGTCCTAAAAGACAAATGGATCAACCCTAGATGGGGCCCATATTGATCTCTGTCTGAAGAAGTTTTCCTAGCAGAGGTTTGTGACTTTGCGCTTTTGTTAAAGGCTGAAGGTGGAAGCATTTTTGGATGCATTGTCATGGGAAGTACTGCTGAGACAGGAATTGAAAGTGCCCCAGGACGTTCATATCTGCTAATAAGGTACAATTCTTTCCTGCAGTCAGAAGGTGATAAATAACCTGAAATCTATAGGTAACACAAAGTAAGAGTTCTGCAAGATTTCCATCTCTATTTCTCCCTGTAGGGCCTTCAGTTCTATTTATGTATGTGGACAGACACCTGTGATGTGAAATGAAGAAAGAAGAGTTTTCAGAAACTGGGCAAGGATTTGGCACAAGATTCACAGATCATCTCAGCCACCGTAGGAGAAACCAGAAGAAGAAATGAGATTATGTAGGAAATCCTGCGAGGAGCCTCATGTCTAATATAAATTCCCGTGGCATGCACAGGAGACTAACAAGAGTTTTGAGAATGTAATACTGACAGAAACACTGCCATGGTGATCAAAAATGGGGTAGAGATAGGACAAAAAGTGAAACAACTATCAGACTTCCAAAATTCATCAGGCAGAAAAAGGCTGATTAAACCACTCAGCTGCAAATATATGCTACTCCATCATAAAGGAAGGATTAGACAAGAGAGCAAGGCCTCATTCATGGAAGGTGCAGCTATGAGCCACAGAAAATTTTCCCACACTTGAGATCTAGTGGAGTTTGTCTTTGATATTGCCTGGGGCTGATCACTGCTTTCTCTGTCCATTTTCCTCTGTTTCTGAGTGGGAAATTTCATAACTGCTAATATATACCTGCTCTAACATTACGTTCTGTGATCAGACAACTTGTCTAGCTTTCCAGATAGTTTTTTCCCCTTAGGGTAGAACAACCAGAGTCTATCTCACCCAGGTCTGATTTAGATGATGTAGGTGATGGGATCTGGGACATTAGGCTGTTGATATTCAGATATTTTGGACTTGAGAAGATGCCAGGATGAGATTAGATCTTTGGGAATGTTAGGGTGGAGTATATGTGTTTTACGTGTTGGATAGATATGAGATTTGGGGGGTCAGAGGGCAGGTGATGGTTCATTTGACAATGCCCCCATAGGCAATTATCTTAATTGCAGGAAACTATGACTGTTTGCTTGTATCAGTTAGATCTTGAAAGTGTGACTCAGACATGAATCTTGAGATGGAGAGATTACTATGGATATCTCTGGGGTCTTAAATGTAATCACAAAGTCTATTAGACAGAGACAAGAACATAAAAGGATAAAGAAGATAGCATGATGATGGCTGCAGTAAATAGAAGGATGTGATGTGGCTACAAGCCAACCTGGACGCCTCTGAAAGTGCAAAGAAGTTAGGTACTGGTTCTGCTCTGTAGCTTCACCATGGAACCAAACCCTGATAAGAGCTCTATTTTATCACCCATAGACTCATTTTGGACTTCTGGCTTTTAGAACTGCCAGAGAATGAGTTTATAATGTTACACATTTTGGTAACCTGTTGTAGTTGAAAGAGAAAACTGACACACTAGGATTACAACTTAATTTGTATAAGAACCGTAATAGTGGAAGGAATTAGTCCTTCATCTCCTGTTACTATTCCACAATGCCTTAATAAATTAAGCTTGGCATTTATCTAACATTGTAGTGGCAGAAAAAGCTCGAAGGGCCTCTCATTCTCTCTCTCTCTCTCTGCCCCACCCCCACGATGTAGAAAACTCAGTGCTGTAATGTTCTTATGGTGATGATTTCCAACTGGGGCAAGAGCCAACTGGAGCATTTGTTCAATGGTGTGAGCTTTCAGAACTTGCCTCTTGTCTCCAAAAATTTCCACAACAGTGATGGCTGCTTGGTGCAGAGGTTAGGCCCCTGCTTAAGACACCTGCATCCCATACTGAAGTGCTTGGTTGGAGTCTTGGCTACTCTGCTTCTGATCCAGCTTCCTGATAATGTGCCTCTGGGGAGGCAGCAGCTGATGGCTCAAAGCTTGGGTCCCTTCCACCTACCTGGGAGATTGGCATTGAGTTCCTGCCTTCTGGCTTTGACCTGGTCTAATTCTGTTCATTTTTAAATGAGTGAGTTGAGATTTTTCATAAAAGACTGTAGTAAGAAAACCCATTGCATATACAGTCACCAAAAAGTGTACTCAGCTCCATGCTTGGAAACACCAAGATACATGCCTAAGTTACTTCCTCTCCAGAGCATCCCTCAGCCTCCTTTTGCACCCAGGAATGATGTGCCTTGCTCTCTGGTCAATATCTGTGTCATTGAAGCAGTCCCTTTGGAATTCATCACTGTCACCCTAAAAAACGATTTAACTTTACAAATGTTGGTGCTATTGCAGGCATATGTACGTAAGGTTTCAACTTGGAAAATTTGGAGCAGCGACCAAATTATGGAACAACATTTCTGTTTCTTTAAAGGCAAATGCTGTCTTCTCTGGCCCCACCCAATCTGAACTTCCTGAATATAGAGGCTGTGTGGAGGGCAAACACTTCCCCCATAGTCACAGCAACAGCACTGCTAAAACAGCCTTTCTGGAGAAACCTGAGAACTCACCAGCTTGTTCAAAAGAAGGTGAGCCTGTCTGAGAAGAGGACCCAGAATGACAGAGCCTGGAGAGGCAGTAGGGAACAGGGCACTTGGGTGGGGTGGATTCTGATCTAAGGAGGGAAAATGTGCAATGCCAACAGGTAATATTCCATTCAGAGGATGCTTCCAAGGTGGTAGAGGATGGGAGAGGGAAGGGGTAAGAGATTTTCTATCATGGCGTGCATTCATCTCATATTTAAGAGGACAGACTTTTGCTGAATAGGGTGCCTTCTTTCTGATGGCTGTGGTGACAGACACCCAGCATTGTCTGGCAACCTTAATAGGAAAGTAAATGTTCTCGAGGCAAGTTTTTAGAGCTGTGAAGTGAATTAGGGACCATTTGTCTAAATCTTGCTTGTTAGGGAAAAAAAAAGAACGCAGGAGTTTGGTAACACTGCATGGCTTATCCTGATCACTAATGATAGAAGACCATAGAACACAGTTAATTCGCTATGTGGACACTTAATAGACAGAAGCTGTGTCTAACAGTGCAATATGTGAGGTGGGGAAGGCAGTGCTATAGGGGGAGGATGAATTACTTCCCCAACCCTCCTATCTACCTCACACACATCACACTCAGTCTACAAGAAGTAGAACAACCTGACAAATGCCAAAGGTGCGATGCGGCTTTCACTTCCTCAGTTGATTTTTGGTAGATGTGTGTGTGTGTATGTGTGTGTGTGTGCAAGAACACAGAGGAGCTGACTCTCAAGGGTCTTAAAGCATGTTCTAGAAATGCTGAGTCCAGGCCACAGTTCAGGTCTTTGCTCACTGCTCACTCTTTCTGTTACCTGGAGTTCCCCTGGGTCTTCTTGGGAAAGTTTCTAAATGATCTTCTTCTGACTGTGGCTCTCAACTCTGGCTTGTCAGTAAGGAGAAAAGCTAAGTGATGAGAGGCCCTCCTCCGGGTCCTGCTATCACAGGCTTGCTCCAGGTTCATCTTCCTGGAGATAATGGGGATTATCCCCTGCCTGCCCTGATCAATCTTGGATCTGATGTAAACTGACATTTAGAGAAGAACCCAAGGTGTGATGTGCAAGGGTAAGAGTGGGTACAGTGGAGTGAGGCAGACTTAACCTCCAATCCTTGCTCTGCCCAATAACTATCTGCACAGTGAACCCAGACAAATTTAAGAAAAGGAGATAACTATCTAACAGAATTAGAGTTCATTTTGCTGGTAAGATGATGCCACTTATCACAGTCTTATATTTCCAGTGTCTTGTGTGAACTTGCACTTATGGAGAAGTTCAATCAGATTAAAGCTTGGCTTTTTTTTGGTGGAATACTTCATGAGTATAAATCCTAAAAATGCATTAGAAAGCAATTAGTTTGTCTCTCCTTTTGTGATGTTGACAGGCATTACTGATTCTCTAGAATTAAACTACTGTTTCCAAATAATAATAGACTAATTTTACTATTTTTTCATTTATTAGATAGAATAATTTTAATATAGCAAGTAAATTCCATTCAACAATTCTTTAATTTAAAGTTAAATTTAAAGTTAAAAGATAAAATATGGGAAAAACCTGATAAATGCTTGACTCCCCCCTGCATTTGTCAGTGTTCCTGACGATGAGTTGCTTTCTTAGCATGTTCCAAGAGTAACAATTAATTTCTTTTAGGAAGATGGTATTGTTTTGTACTACTTAATTTTGACATGTTTGATATGTTTCAGCATTTAGACCTGAGTTTCCTTACTGATGCTGAAACTGGTGCAAGTTTGTCCAGTTGGAGCTTCTTCAAGGATCATTTTCATATCTTCCTTGAAGTGCACATTCACATTTCTTGCCTGATTTTCTATCGACTTGCTAGTCTTTGTTTTTCCTATGATTAGATAATCTTCGTATGAAAGGAAAATTAATTCTCTTTTATGTAAATTGGAAAAAAGTTTTCTTAGTTTGATGTCTGTATTTTAATTGTCAACTGTGCTTCTTGCCTTATATTACTTTAAATGTTTTATGTAATCAAATGTATCAGTCTTTTCCTAAAACTATTTTAGTCTTAGAAATATTCCTGCCATCCCCAGGTTACAAATACTACTGTTTTTTCTTTAGTTATTCATATGGATTTTTTGTATTTGCATTTCAAATCTATCTTTTAATTTGAATGGAATGAGGAAATGGATGCAATTTCATTTTCTCCATGATTATATAGTTCTTCCAGTATTGCTAATAAAATTGTCATCTTTTTCCCATTGACATGATATACTCCCCTATGCAATGTAAATGTAACATAACATGATTGAATATAGATGAGTACAATAAGTACAGTAGTCTCTGTCTGAATTTTCTATTCCTGACTCCATTTTGACTCACTCATTCACTAGCTTCACACTACTTCAATTACAGAAACCATAATATTTTCCCCCTGGTAGAACAATGCTGTCATCATTGTTTTCCATTTCCTTGATTGTCCACATTGAAGTTTTTTTCTTTTTTTAACTTTACAGTTAACATTTTTCACAACAGGAAACCAAATATTAGTGACAAAGGTTTTAAAATTTATATTTATAAAGTTCATTTTAAAGAAGTATGCTTTAATTCCTATTTTGTGAAATGCTCCAAACACAAATCATTATTAAATTCAATCAAATATATTTTTTATTTTAGATAATTCTCTTATTAATTTATTAACAGGATATGTTATAACAACCCATATTAGCATATTGAACTACCCTAACAGTTTTGAAATGTCACACCTAATCAAATCATATTATTTATTAGTGTCTAATAATTCATCTAGGTTTTTGTATCAACACTGCAAATGTGATGTATATGTAGCTTTATTGGTGAAAACTTTATTAACTTTTAGAACCAATATTATATTTGCTTCAAAGAAAGAATATAGTTATCCTTCTTTTTTAAATAGCATTGAGATTATAATGTATTTAAAACTCTAATAGGGTTTCCCTGTGAAACTCATCTGTGGGAAAATGTTTTAACTACTCTCTCTATTATTTTTCAATGGTAATGGGACTGCTTCAGTCTCCACTGATGTGAATAGGCATAATAAAATATTACAAATTCTCAGCAAGGACAAGAAGAAAAGAGGATGAGGGACAATTCCTACTCACCTTGGTCTTTTTTTTCTTCCTTCTTTCCTTAAGGTCTATAGGTGCCTAAGCTCCTGAGCATCCTTACATAGACATGGCTGACCATCAAAACAATGCTTTGAGGATCGTTCTGGTAGGGAAGACTGGAAGTGGGAAAAGTGCAACAGCAAACACCATCCTTGGGGACAAAGTCTTCCAGTCTGGAATAAGTGCCCAATCCCTTACCAAGAGATGTCAAAAAGCAACCAGGGATTGGAAGGGGAGAGAACTCCTTGTTGTTGACACCCCAGGGCTCTTTGATACCAAGGAAGGCCTGCCTACCACCTGCAAGGAAATCTGCAAGTGTGTCCTCTTCTCCTGCCCAGGGCCTCACGCATTTCTCATGGTTATACCCGTGGGCCGCTACACGGTATTAGAACAGCAAACTGTTGAACTGATCAAGGCCACCTTTGGGAATTCAGTAACAAAACACATGGTCATCGTGTTCACCCGCAGAGAGGATCTGGAGGACAGTAAACTAGATGACTATATAGCAAATGCACATGTGAGTCTAAAAAGCTTCATCCACGAGTGCGGGGGCCGCTGCTACGCCATTAGCAACAGAGCAAACAAGGCCGAGAAGGAGGGTCAGGTGCAGGAGCTGATGGAGCTGATAGAGAGGATGGTTCTGGAAAATGCAAGGGGATATTTTTCTGAGAAAATATACAAGGACATAGAGGAAAGACTGAAACAAAAGGCCGACATTTTGAAGAAAATTTATGCTGATCAGTTAAGGAATGAAATTAAACTTATAGAAAATGATGGTAGTCTTAAATCAGAGGAAGAAAAAGCTGAAAAAATACAAGAGGCAAACAAAAGATATGATGAAAAAATGAAAAATATAATGGAAGAAGCTGGACAGAATATATTTGAATATGTCTTCAGTTTGGTTAAGAACACCCTTGGGAAAATATGGCATAGATTGTGGAAGTAAATTTCATTCTTTCTCTTTAATTTGCTGTGATTTGTTAAATGATAGATCATATTTTCCAAAATTGCTGTTATAATACCTCCCCTACACACAAAATTTAAAAGGTAAAATTTAAAAACAATTATTCTGTCTATTTTGCTTTACAATATTATGTATATGAGGGCTGGTGTTGTGGCACAGTAGGTTAATCCTCCGCCCACGGCACCAGCATTCTATATGGGCGCCAGTTCTATTACCGGCTGCTCCTCTTCCAATCCAGCTCTCTGCTGTGGCCTGGGAAAGCAGAAGAAGATGGCCCAGGTCCTTGGGCCCCTGCACCCACGTGGTGGACTGGGCAGAAGCACCTGGCTCCTGGCTTCGGATCGGCGCAGCTCCGGCCATTGTGGCCATTTGAAGAGTGAACCAGCGGAAGACCTTTCTCTCTCTCTCTCTCCCTCTCTCTCTCATCCAAATGAATAAGTCTATCTTTAAAAATATATTATGTATATGAATACATCATAAAATGATTAAATCAAAATCATTGCTATATACTTTGCTTCAGCTATTTATCTGTTTTTTTCTTTTTTGGTGCACTGAGAAAATTTAAGATTTAGTTTCTTAGAAAATCTCAAAAGAAAAAACAGACATTTTAACTACAGTCACCATATTACACCACAAATATCCAGAACTTATTCTTCCTGCAGAAACAAATCTTTGTACCCCCTGAGCAACACATCCTACTTCTTCCATCCCCTCAGTCACTGGAAACCAAAATTATATTTTTTGCTTTATGTGTTCAACTATTTTAGATTCCATGCATAAATGAAACCATGCAGTTTTTGTCTTTCTGCACTTAGTTTATTTCACTCAGCATAATGTACTTCAGGTTTACCCACTGTATTGTAAATGACAGGATCTCCTATCTTTGAAAAACTGAATAATTATTCTATTGTACACCACATTTCTTTTATCCATTCACATGCCTATGGGTACTTGGTTCATTGCTACATCTTGGCTGTTGTGGCGAATACTGAAATGAATATGGGAGAGCAGATATCTCTTTAAGGTAACAAATTTATTTTGCTTGACACTTGCTTTGGCTCAATTGTGATACTATCACAAAATACTGTAAACAGTGTGGCTTATAAACAACAGAAATTTGTTTCTCAGTTATGGAAGCTAAGTCCACAATCAAAGTTCCAGGAGACTTAAGTTTTGGTGAAGGTCTCTTCCTTATAGATATCCATCTCTTAGTCTGATCTCAGCAGCAGTAATGGGGAGTCCTTGCTAGAATTATTTTGTAAAGAATTTAATATTATTCAAGAGGTTTCTACCACATCACTTAATTACCACATAAGCCTCCCTTCCTGATACCATCACCTTGGGAGGGATAATGTCAACCTATGAATTAGGGGTGAGGGGAGGACATAAACATTCAGACCATGGCATCCCTCCTGGCATTACAAAAGTCATGTCCTTCTCACATCAAATACATTCCTTCCCAGTAGCCCCTACGTCTCTACTTTTTCCAGAATGAAGTTTAAAATCCAAACCAAAAGCCTCATCTAATTTTCATCAAAATCAGATATGGGTGACACTCAAGTTACAATTCATCCTGTGGCAAATTGCCCTCCAGTTGTTAGCCTTTGAAATTAACAACGTTATGTGCATCCAAAATACAGTGGTGGGGCAAACATAGCATAGACATTCACATTCCAAAAGGGAAAATTGGGAAGAAGAAAGGAACCTCAAGAAATTCTAAGACCTCAAAGCCCAGGAACAATCTTTGTGTGCTCTACCCCTCAAGATGTAGCACTTTGGGCTTATGAAGGCGGGGCAGTCCCTACTGTCTCTGAAATGCCCTTGGGGTCATTTTCCAACGTCTTGCACAATGGGCCTTGGCTGCTGTTTAGATGGCTGACTAATATCCTTACTGTTGTGATAAATAGCTCCTGGATTCCATTGAGATGTCTCATCATACTAATCTCCTTATCAAAAGATCACTTGGCCATATCGTTGTGTTTTTTTGCTAACAATTTCACCTTTAAGACATTTATTTTTAAATTTATTTAATTAATTTATTTTATTTGTTTGAGCTTCAGAGAGAGAGAGAGAGAGAGAGAGAGAGAGAGAGAGGAGCTCATCCACTGGTTCCCTCTCCAAATGCCCACAATGAGCTCAGGCTGGAACAGGCCCAGGATGGGATCTGGGAGCTCAGTCCAGGTCTCCCACATGGGTGGCAGGAACCCAACCACCTGAGTCATCACTGCTGCTTCCCAAGGTCAGCACGGACAGGAAACTGTCCTCCTGAGCCTCAGCTGGTCATCACACTGGGCACTCTGATACAGGCAGCAGGTGTCTTATCTGCTTCTTGTATTTTACTGCACACAGTGAAGAGAGATAAAGCAGCACCTTGAACATGTTGCTTAGAAATTTCCTCAATCAAATGTCCAATTTCATTGCTCTCAAGTTTTAACTTCCAGAGATAGCAGAACATGAGCATGAGTCAGCCAAGTTCTTTACCACCTACAACAGGATAACCTTTCTTCCATTGCCAAATGACATGTTCCTCATTTGTGTCTCAGACCACATCAGAATGACCTTCATCACCCACATTTCTACCAATACTCATACACTGTCCCTAACTACTCATGTATTTTATAAGAATGAATCTTGGGGAGCCACAGAGTCTGCGCGCCAGTGCAGGAAGGGGAGTGGATGTGACACAGACACCAGCGGGAGAGGAGGGATGCCCAGGGCTCCAAGTCCACACATCGCCGCTGGAAGGGGAAGTGAGCTCAGTAACCGGAGACATTGGTGGGGAAACGGCGGACAGAATTTTAGAGGTAAGCGGGCTTTGAAGCGGGAAAGTTCACCAGATTGACTACAGGAGAGAAGGAAAAAAAAAAGGTGGGGGCGTACTGGTACAGACAAGTTTCTCTCTCCGCCAACCTTGCAAAGGCAGGCAAGAGACAAAGAGCAAGCCCCGCTTGGGATATACATAATAGAAGGGGAGAGTTAAGGCTACAATTCAGTAGCCTAGGCAACCCAGTGGGAGTCGCAGGAGAAACCGAGCCTGCACAGACTCTTTGGGTAGAAGCCAGAGGTCGGAAGCTAAATACCATCAATGCTGCTCAGCCTTCCAGTATTACTTACCTCCTGAATAAAAATAAATAAATGAATGAATAAATAAATAGAGAGAGATTTACCACACATAACCTGAGGGTGTCACCTTTGCACACCCATAACCCTGAAGAACCAAGCAGAGCTCTCGGGCCACATCCATCTCAAGCATCCAAGGCTCCTCCAACAGCAGGCAGTCCACTTAACACGGACATAGTATTAAAAAAAATTAAAAAAAAACACCTCACAGTGAGGGAAAAAGAATTAACCATGCCAAGCAATAAACACAGATCGAGGGAACAAGATCAACGATGACACTATGACACCTCCAAATAAACAAAACACCCCAAGCCAAGATTATGAAGATGATGAGATAGAAGAAATGCAAGATACGGATTTCAAAAAATTTATGATAAGAACATGTAGAAGTTTTCAAAAGCAAATCCTTGAACTACAGAAATCCTTATTGGACAGGATTGAAAATCTCTCTCGTGAAAATGAAATTTTAAGGAAGAATCAAAATGAAACGCAGAAACTAGTAGAACAGGAAAGTGTGATAGTGAAGAGAAATCAAAATGAAATGAAGAGCTCAATAGATCAAATGACAAACACATTAGAGAGCCTTAAAAACAGAATGGGTGAAGCAGAAGAGAGAATATCGGACTTAGAAGACAGAGAACAGGAAAACATACAGTCAAACCAAAGAAAAGAAGAGGAAATTAGAAATCTAAAAAATATTATTGGGCATCTACAGGATACTATTAAAAAACCAACATTCGTGTTCTAGGAGTTCCTGAAGGCATGGAGAGAGAGAAAGGATTAGAAGGCCTTTTTAGTGAGATACTAGCAGAGAACTTTCCAGGTTTGGAGAAGGACAGAGACATCCTAGTACAGGAAGCTCATAGAACCCCCAGTAAAAATGACCAAAAGAGATCCTCACCACGACACGTTGTAATTAAACTCACCACAGTGAAACATAAAGAAAAGATCCTAAAATGTGCAAGAGAGAAACGTCAGATTACTCTCAGAGGATCTCCAATCAGACTCACAGCAGACTTCTCATCAGAAACACTACAGGCTAGGAGGGAATGGCGAGACATAGCACAGGTGCTAAGAGAGAAAAATTGCCAGCCCAGAATATTATATCCTGCTAAGCTCTCATTTGTGAATGAAGGTGAAATAAAGACCTTTCATAGCAAACAGAAATTGAAAGACTTTGTGGCCACTCGTCAGGCCCTGCAAAAGATACTTAAAGATGTGCTACACTCAGAAACACAGAAACACGGCCATCAATATGAAAGAAGGGAAAGGAAGAACACCTACCAGTAAAAGAGCATGGGAAGCTCAAAGCATATACTAGAAAATATCTCTGGGAAAATGGCAGGGCAAAGTCACTATGCATCAATAGTCGCATTAAACGATAATGGTCTTAACTCTTCAGTTCAAAGACACCGATTGGCTGACTGGCTTAAGGAACACAACCCAACTATTTGTTGCCTACAAGAAACACATCTCTCTAACAAAGATGCATGCAGACTGAAAGTGAAAGGTTGGAAAAAGATATTCCATGCCAACAAAAAAAAAAAAAAAAGCAGGTGTAGCCATATTAATATCAGACAAAATAAACTTTAATACAAAAACTGTTAAGAGAGACAAAGAGGGGCACTATATAATGATTAAGGGTCCAATTCAACAGGAAGATGTAACTATTATAAATGTATATGCACCTAATTACAGGGCACCAGTCTATTTAAAAGATATATTAAGGGACTTAAAGGGAGACTTAGATTCCAATACAATAGTACTGGGGGACTTCAATACTCCACTCTCAGAAATAGACAGATCAATAGGACAGAAGATCAACAAGGATACAGTAGATTTAAACGACACTATAGCCCAAATGGATCTAACAGATATCTACAGAACTTTCAACCCTACATCTACAGACTTCACATTCTTCTCAGCAGTGCATGGAATCTTCTCTAGGATTGATCACATACTAGGTCATAAAGCAAGTCTCAGCAAATTTAAAAGAATTAGAATCATACCATGCAGCTTCTCAGACCACAGTGGAATGAAGCTGGAAATTAGCAACTCAGGAAACCCCAGAAAGTATGCAAACACATGGAGATTGAACAACATGCTCCTGAATGAACACTGGGTTACTCAAGAAATCAAAAGAGAAATCAGAAACTTTCTGGAAGTAAATAAGGATAACAACACAACATATCAAAACTTATGGGATACGGCAAAAGCAGTATTGAGAGGCAAGTTTATAGCAATAGGGGCCTATATCAAGAAATTGGAAAGGCACCAAATAAATGAGCTTTCAGTGCATCTCAAGGACCTAGAATAACTGCATCAAATCAAACCCAAATCTAGTAGGAGAAGAGAAAAAATTAAAATCAGAGAAGAAATTAACAGGATTGAAT